TGTCTGCCCAGGAATTTGTGCATCGTGAACGCGGAAGAAGGATCGCATTCGCGAAGAGGAAAAATGAAGGCTGCCCAGGTTGCTCATCGCGAACACGACAATGTGCTCGCGAACGCGGAGAAGAAGAGCCAGAAACCTACACGAACGCATAGAGAAGGACGCGAACGCGAAGAGTAAGAATGCAGGGCTTTGCGAACGCGAAGTGTTGAATGCGAATGCGAAGAAGGATTTTGAGGTAGTCAGCAACAACATATCGCGAACGCAAAAGGCTGTTCGCGATCGCGAAGGAGAACACCAGAAGCAGAAAACCAGCAGTTTCAAAAGTAGGAAAAATGACCCGTAGCCCATCCGGAACACACCCGAGGCCCCCCGGGACCCTGTCTAAACACACAAACGAGTCATATAACCTAACAAGGACTCGCTCGAGGCCTCAAATAACATCAAACAACGCCGAAATGACGATTCACACCATGAATCGAACTTAGGAACTTTCAAATCTTCCAACTTCCAAAACTCGTGCCGAAACCTATCAAATCAACCCGGAATGACGCCAAATTTTGCAAACAAGTCCCAAATGACAAGACGGAGCTGTTCCAACTCTCGGAACCGCATTCTAACCCCGATATCGCAAAAGTCAACTATGGATCAAACTTCTCCATTTTCAAAACTTCAACTTTTTCAACTTTCACCGAAACGCCTCAAATTACCCTACGGACCTCCAAATCTGAATCCGGACGCGAGTCCAAAATCACCATACGAAGCTGTTAAGATCATCCAAAACCCATTCCTGAGCCGTTTACTCCAAAGTCCAATTCTGGTCAAATTCTCACCGCTTAAGCTTCCAAAACTAGATTCCTTCTCCCAATTCGACTCTGAATCATCCGTTAACTAAATTCAACCATGCATGCAAGTCGATACTCATATTATCTAGCTGTTCCAGACCTTACGCCACCAAACGGAGCTTGATTTCTCAAAACGACCGGCCGGGTCGTTACAGTCCTCCTTTCACATCTTGGAGTTACTGAGTGAGTTGAGTGAATCGGTTTTGTGATAACTGGTGCAGGACATTCATTTCGGAATCAGTGTTAAACCCATGAACTGATCCTCCATCATTTATGGCTACATTGGCCTGGGCTCCTCCTTGAAATTTCTTAGACTTTGTGAACTTAAAATCAGCAAGAAAACCTATGATCTTGTAGCTCTTATCCATAATATGTTCATATTTCTTACAGTAGGAGCAAATCTTATTGTTTTTCTTGTAATTTCCCCTGAATTTTCCACCTCTAGAATCAGAGTTTCCAAATTTTGGAGAACCACTAAATTAGCAGTCATAAAAGAAGATGAATCACTAGGGAAATGATTGTTAACATAGATTTCTGTTTGTTTTTCATCTTGAATCAACAATGAATACGCATGATTAACACTAGGCAGAGGTGAAATCATTAGAATGTTTCCTTTTACAGCAGCATAAGAATCATTCAATCCCATAAGAAATTGAACGAGTCTTTCCTCTTGAAATGACTTAGAGAATTTGGTCTTACCTTCACATGTACAGTCATATCCACAACATATATTTGCATTGAGAGTATCTAGTTCATCCCAAGGCCTTTTACCTTTGAAAAATATCATGTTATGTCATTAGACCCTGTACTAAATTATTGAGCTCATTTTGTAGGTGATACAACTTTGCTCCATTGGACTACCCAAAGCGATCTTTCAAATCAGTCCACAGATCTTTGGTTGTCTTGGAGTAGATAACACTGCCTGCAATCTCTTTGGAAAGGGAGTTGAGGAGCCAAGACAAAACTATGTTGTTGCATCTGCTCCAAAGCTTGAAGTCTGGTCAATCAGGAGATGGAGGGGAGCAAAATCCGTTGATAAAGCTAACTTTATTTTTGGCTGATAGAGCGATGAGGATTGACCTACTCCAGCTTCCATAACCTCTGCCGTCAAAGGTGAAATTCACAAGATTCATCCCTGGAAAGTCAGAGGAATGAAGATAATATGGGTGACTGGAATCCATGACTGTGGTCTTAGGATCTACTTATGTGACTTTAGTAGATTTTCTTGCAGAAGAAGCATCAGTAACCATGGTGGAAGAAGAAAACGAGGTTGAGTAGTGCACAAGAAAGTCACTGCTCTGATACCATGAAGAAAGTGATGAAAACTATGAAATTTTTTGTGTGTATTTTCATTCATCACTGTACAATATTTATACAAACTGTAAAAGAATCTATTGTAACTAACTTATCCAGCTGTCCTATTTCCTATTGGTTAAAAATAAAGAAAAAATAAAATTTGTACATAATTCTTGTTACACAGCTGTAGCTTCTAGAAGCTTATCCAACGGTCCAGATGTTGCCAAGACAATAAAGATCAATGTCTCTGATGAAATCAACACAATTAATCCAAAGTTAATTAGGCCTCCACGTGTAGCTCTTTAGTCCAAATGTCCGAAGAATAATATTTTCACTTCTTTACTTTGTTTATGTCGAGGACAACTTTGTAGCTTCTCTGAATTTTCTTTGTTCTTCGGTCGTCTTCTTCAAATCATTTTGCTTCATACAAATTATCTCCATTATTTGTGCCAATATAATAATAGATTGGGGCACTAATTATAATTTTTATTTATTAATGATATATTTTAAATTATAATGCTAGTCTTGTTTTCAGAAGTTAAAAGTCAATAATTGAATCTATTGAATTCTGTCACTTTTATTATAGAGAAAATCTCACTTTATACCCATTAATTCCAAACTATTTACCCTTTAATACCTAGGCCCAAACTATTTACCATTCCTACCCATGCGGCCCAGACTATTTACCCGCTAATTCCAGCCGCAACCTGCAAACAAATGGAATAGTTCCCGCTAACAAGGAATCTTGAAAGAGAACCTCAAGTGGTGAAATAGAGATTCAAACAATGGCTGAAAAATCTGCCTTCGAAAAAATAGGCCAGGATTTGTGCAAAAACATGAAAAAATTTGTGCAAAAGCATGAAAAATCTGACAAATCTCGTATCATTCTCCGGCGAAGTCGATCTTCAGGTCTGTTCTCTTTTTTTTTTGTCAAAACAACTAAATTTGTGCAAAATCATGAAAAAATACAATCTTTATGTCAGGATTCGCTGTATTTGTTTTTTTAATTAAAATTCCTGAATTTCTTTTCTGGGAATTAAATAGGTATTCAGGAAAAAAGAATTGAAAAAATGGCAGAGCAGAAGAAGCAGCAAGTGGGATCTATAAAAGTGAATCAGCTTCGACCATCGAATTTTGGGGTTAATATAACTGTAAAGGTTATTAGTAAAAAGCCAATTGTACAGAGAAATCGTCTTGCTTAGTGTTTGGTGGGTGATGAAACTGGAATTATTATTTTTATTGCCTGCAATGATCAAGGTAATTTTTTTGCTAGGATTGAGAAAAAATGAATCTTTATTGTAAGAATTGGCTTGTATCATCAATTGGGAACAAATATTATTAAGATCTTGTCATTGATGGTTGAAGGGGTAACTGATTTAAATAATTTTGTTGTTTTTCATTGTTGTCATATGTCTGACTTCTGCTGTGTGTATTGCATGTTGCGTGGAAGCCGAAGAATGAGTGTATTGAGATTATTGAGTCTTCGTTGTTCAAATTGGCATATTTTAGACATGCTGGGTGAAACTTATAAATGTCTAGCTAATTAATAGTGGAAGTTGAAAGGGTTCGATGGTGTAGTTAAGGATCTAATTTTATTTGAAATTTGGAAAAGATTGTTGGTTTGTTGGAATTCAGTAGTTGCTTCAATGTTCCTTTCCCTTATTTCTTTATGCTTTATGTTCGTTTCCCCTCTATTTTTTTTGGTTTTGCCGTCTTCCTTTTCTCTTTTGTTCTTACTAACGTTTTTTGTTTGCAGGTTGCGGCTGGAATTAGCGGGAGGAAAAATTTGATAGCATTGGAGCTGATTCGAGGTGATTGAGGAAATTTCAGCTGAAAATCTAAAAAGAACACAGCTACCCAATAGTACACTGCTACGGTATACAATATGCTGTAGGAGTATATAGCTATACTGCAACAGTATACTATTATAGTTTACAATATACTGCAACGGTATATTGTAATAATCGAAGAAGAACACAGTTACCTAACAGTATACCGCTACAGCATACAATATACTATAGGAGTATATAGTTATACTGCAACAATATACTATTATAGTATATAATATATTGTTATAGTATACTGTAACAATATGCAATATACTGTAACATTAGGCTGTAATAGTATACAATATACTATAATAGTACACTTATTATCCGTAAATTCACTTGCCTTTTCCCTTTTAATTTGCTTTAAGCTTTTACCCAGCGTAAGGGGCAAATTGAAAATGCAAAAAAAAAAAAAAAAAAAAATAAAATTATAGTATGCTATATAATGTAACGGTGTACTCTTACAATTAGATCCTTTTAGAATTTTTTGAAATTTTTATTGACAAGTGATATTATTTTAGTTTAATAATTGAATTAATTTTTTTTAACTCTTTGCGTACAATTGTATACCCTGTTGGTATAGCTATATACTATACTGGTATCATATGTTAGTTAATATTTTTTGATTGTATTAGCTACATTTAATTGGTACACAATTTGATTTTTCTTTAGTAATAATATAAAAAAAAATAATAAAAAATAGTGAAAACAGTAAATGAAATTAGATTATGAAGAGAAAAAGAATATAAAAAAAAGAAGTTAAATGAAATTAGAAAAGGAAAAAAGAAAAAAATAAGAAGAAAACGAGAAAAAAAAGGAAAAGAAAAAAAAAGAAAAGAAGCATAGAAATAAAAAAGAATTGGAGAATAAAGAAAAAATTTGCCCCAAAAACTACTATGGGTAGGAAATGTAATTAGGTTATGGATAGAAAAATAAATGGATAGACAAGGATAAATAGTTTTGTTTTTGTGGGTAACTGTGTTAACATCCATTTATTATATGAATGGAGCAGAAAATGTAATTACAGATTCTTTTGACAACAACAGGTCCCCCCTCGCGTCTGAAATCCTCACCTCTCAAATTTTCACCTTCACGTCATGTGAAAATGCATCAGAGTGAATCATAAGGCAAAAATATCTTAGGGCCATTCAACTTTTCTCCTCTTTGTGATCTAGTCATTGCTCTTAAGGCTTTCTTCACTGGGAAATTGGGATATTTGGCATACTGACGCTTAAGCAAAAAACCCTGCTTCGTATATAGTCTTAACGACACTGCAAGTTTTTGGTGGAAAACTGAATTCTTGCTGCTAATTTACCAACAGCATTTACTGGGCCATGTTTTCTTCTGCAGTTTGTTTGCCAACAACAATTCTTCAAATTCACCCATCTTACTCTTCAAATAACACAAACCGCCTCAAAACCCACAAATGTAAAAGCTATACTGATGACAAAAAACTCCCTTGTTTCTCAGCTCGGTATGATATTTCTGCAAATACAGAAAGCCCATTGGGCTGCTCTAGAGACTCCGAAATAGTTACTCAATTGGAAGTGTCTTATGATGAAACTTCTTCCAGTTCTGATGCTTCAGTGAATAATTTTGTAGCTGACTCCAGTTTGCTTGGCCGTTTGCTTCAATCTAGTTCTAGTGTAAAAGAAGTTAAAATACTGCATGCTATAATTTTAAAGTGCATGAGAAGTAGTACTATATTCATTGAAAATAATTTGATTAGTGTGTTGGTGAAATTTGGGAGATTGGATGATGCTCGTAACTTGTTCGACCATATGCCTGAGAGAAATGTGGTTTCTTGGACTGCTATGCTTAATGGGTATATAAGATTTGGGTTAGATAATGAAGCTATGGATTTTTTTGGTGAATTTGTACGACGTGGTTTGCAGTGGAATTCCAAGACCTATGTGTGCGTGTTAAGCATGGCTGGGAGGAACTGTGATTTTGAGCTAGGGAAACAAGTGCATGCTGGTATTATAAAGGGTGGATATAGTAATTTGATTTTGGATAGTTCTGTTGTGTCTTTTTACGCGCAATGTGGAGATTTAGAAGGCGCTTTCCGCGTATTTGACGTGATAAAAAGGCCTGATGTAGTTTGTTGGACAACTATGATTACTGCTTGTTCACAACATGGGAGAGGAAAGGAAGCTTTACTCATGTTTTTGCAGCTGTTCTCTGATGGGTTTGATGCCAATGAATTTACTGTCTGCAGTATTTTGAATGCGTGTGGGGAGGAGAGGGAATTGATGTTCGGGAAGCAACTACATGCGGCGATTATTAAGAATAGATTTAGAATGGATGTCTTCATAGGCACTTCATTGGTAGATATGTATGCAAAGTGCAGTGAGATAGACGATGCTAGGACAGTGTTTGATGGGATGGGGAAAAGGAACACGGTGACGTGGACGTCTATTATTGCAGGATATGCTCGTAATGGTCATGCGGAAGAGGCCATAAGACTCTTCCGGATAATGAAAAGGCGAAAGATTTTTGCTAATAACTTGACTATGGTAAGCATCCTTCGAGCATGTGGCTTACTTAGAGCGTTACCAACTGGAAAGGAAGTGCACGCACAAATTATCAAGAGTGATCTCCAAGATAATATTTATTTAGGAAGTGCTTTAGTGTGGCTTTATTGCAAATGCAGTGAAAATTCAGCAGCACATAAGGTCCTTCAAGACATGCCTATTAGAGATGTAGTTTCGTGGACTGCTATGATTTCCGGTTGTGCTCATGTTGGCCATGAGTATGAGGCTCTTGAATACTTGAGGGAGATGCTAGGTGAAGGCGTGTCCCCCAATCCATTTACTTATTCATCAGCCCTGAAAGCATGTGCAAAGCTGGAAGATATTGAGAGAGGGAAGCTGATCCATTCCTCCGTAAGCAAGACACCTGCTCTGTCCAATGTGTTTGTGGGCAGTGCATTGATCAATATGTATGCAAAATGTGGACATATTCCTGAGGCAATTCAAATATTTGATAACATGCCTGAGAGGAACTTAGTTTCTTGGAAGGCAATGATTGTTGCTTATGCTAAAAACGGACTGTGTGGAGAGGCATTGAAGCTCATGTATCGCATGCAAGGAGAGGGTATTGAGGTGGATGATTATACCCTTGCGACTGTCCTCACAGCGCGTGGAGAATTTAAGGAAAATATGAAGTCCAAATCGAAGTATTTCTTGAGCCCAAAATAGTTCTATAGTTTAGACAGAAATGAGGTCGGTCTTGGAAGTTTCAGCAAAATCTTCAAATGAATTCTCATGGTTCATTCATGTAACAATGACACCTGAACACCGAATGCTGCTTCATACTTTGGAGCCAGTTACTGGAGTCTGGTTGGTAGCTGCTTGTCCATGGCTATCTTCAGGACCTTCAATGAACAAGTCTAGTACTCCCTGGCTAGCCTGTCTTGCTGAGAAAAGAATGAGGTGAAGTTTACTGGTAACTGCTGGGACTGTGCTTTTAGAGGTCCGTAATATCCAATGTTGTATCTTCTAACCTCAAGGATACTCTGTATTATAGTTGTCGTTAGGTGCCTGCAGCCATGTATTATTATATATTAAGATCATGTATACCATTATGCGATCAGAATGTTTGTAGGACTTGCACTTTTGTTCGGTGTAGTGATGGTGAAAAAAATCAACAACAACAATAATATGTACTAAATTTTTTAATGTTAAAAACATATTTTTTAATAGTATTTCATCCACAGGATTGTCTTCAAGTGTTTAGTGAGAACTTCTATTGATGATTACTTGAAGCAAAAAAGACGAATTATTTTGGATCGAAGCAAGTAAGAGTTAATGGCCAGCTCCTACACACTAGTGATTGACAGTAATTACATTGTATGTGGCAGTCAATATGTATGATACAAATGAGGTAGTGTATTGGAAACTATATTGACAGTTCGTGTAATTACCATGCAACTATGCTCTGAATTCTGCAATTGCTATTGTCAATGTCGCATGTACTAAGAAAATACAATTGTAACCATTGCTCCAGGTGCATAACAGAGAAGAATCTTGATCAGGGATTGCAATTTGTTTATAGTAATGCATTTGACAGAATAACTTAAGTCTTCTCAGTTAGAAAATGGTTCATAGCGAAAGTGATTCGGAGACAATTCTCGATGCTCACAGCAAATGTTCTGTTGATGGATGTCCATATTGAGCTTCTACTTTTCCCTCTTTAAAATCATCAATTCTTTCCATTTGTTAGTACAAATTCCTCTTCAGCCAGCTTGAAAGTCGAATCCCTCTCTACTGTCACTTAGAAGTGAAGTGACAGATTCTCTCTGCAACTGCACTGCAGATGTTAGAGAAATTCAGTTTTTATAAAATAAAAAAAAGAGAGCATAAATATATATATATCAATACTCACCGCTACAGCCATTAATCCTTCAGTTTTATGTGGGCAACTAATGCAGGGAATCACCACCAGCTTTTCACACAAATATCTGAAATCCACTTTAACATATTAATGGTCTTCATTAATGAAAACTTATTCAGTTTGCTCAATATACGAGGGACAGCTGCCTACACATTCTCCCACAGATTAACTAGTCGTCTAAATTTTATTACCAACTTACCAAAATGTGAAACTGCTCTAAATAATCAAGATTAGGAGAAAAGTTGTATAATTGCTTTGATATTAAAACATTTTTCTGGAGCTAATATAGCACCACAAGAAGTGCGAAAAATTTGAATGTTACAGTAGGAAAGGAAAATCAAATAAACCATAAACAGTGAGACATTGGGGATGATTTGGAATATTTGTATTTTGATATCTTTATTGTGTCGCTATGCCTCGTTAGAAATTGATAACAAACTGGAAAGAAGTTGGACCAACTTTTGTTCCTGGATGCCTAGTCGTGTATGGATTAGGTTAGGCCCAAGTTCTACAACAAGACCATTGATGGTAGAGGAGTCTTCCTTACCCAATCTCTCTATTTTCTACAATAATAACAATTACACCTCACTAAAACTACGATTGGCTATATAAATCCTCTATAATCATTCTACTCAAATTGAGCCGTTTTCTACTACTCAATAAATTTTTATTACATAAAAATTTAGGAATTCTTCAAATCTCACACCTGTGTCGAGTACACTAACATACGCAACAACAACTATAATAACCTCTTAGTTCCAAACAAGTTGTGATCGGCTATATCTATCCTCCTCCTTTCATTTAGTTCTACTCATATGTATATATATGTGTGTGTGAGACAGGAACAACAAAACTATGCTGATAAGAAAAAGGCAGAGAACCTTTTTAATTGAGATCGTGTGAAAAGCAATAATTGTTTACCCGTAAAACGGTACAGTTGAATTTATATCATGATTTATAGACAAGCGAACCGATTTGATCCCAAAGTGATAAATAAATTTAATAAAATGCAAGACTTAGCGTCGAAATCGAGATAAAATAGTAGATAGCCTGGTTACGGGAGCAGAGCTTCCGAAGGCAGCAATATGAATCTTAATAAGTAAGAAATGAAATGTTATTGAGCTCTTGAATAGCATATGGCATAAGTTTGTCAGAAAATTCATATCTCTCTAATGGCTATTAAAGTTGCTATTTATAGTTGCACCTAGGGAACAAGGTCCTAGGATCAAGCCCCTCTTAAATGACAGTTACAGGGCCACTGAAAGATGTGTAACGGCAAGCTATGAATGCCATATTCTCTATAACAGACTATGTATTTAATACTGCAGAATATTTGTCACTGAATGTTATTAGGTGGCAGGCATTCATTTGTCTTCCTGAGCAACATTCCCTTCGGGGGTTTCCCGGTGCCAACTGAAACTGCTGCCCCTGGTCTTGATTTCCACCTATCTCACTTTTCATCTGTCTTCGTTCCACGTGTCACTTTATTATACGAGTATTTAATACGAACTAATTTTACCATATACAGATAGTCACCCTGCTTTTCGGTGGCACATCTTTGTGTCATCGGGAAGTTGGTGAAGATACCTTTCTTGGCGAAAAAATTTCTGATCCCCTCTAAAAAGTTTCTGACGCTTGATTAGACGCACGTCTCTCCGTATTTAATGCACCGAACACACGTCACTCCACGTTTTCAGCAATAGTTTTGCCGGTTCTCAAGGTAATCATGGCCACGATTTTAGCCGCTTATTCCTTTACTTATATGCCTCACTCTCCTTCTTTCACCCTTCATAATTTTTTGAAATCTGTCAACTTTTCTTACTCAACTCTCTCTTGCTTTCATCTTTCTTTAACCTTCTTCTTCAGAGAAATTCTCACTTCCTTCTGCTAACCATGGCCTCCACTTCTAAGAACTCCAGCTCTTCAAAGAACAAGGAAAGCACTGATGATGCTGCTCCTCCTATGGTGAGCATCATTATCCCCAGAAGGCTTAAAACAGCCAAGGATTTTAAAGAGAAGTTACCTTCTGCTAATTCCCGCACACGGGCTGTTGGTGTGTACCCTTCTTCCATCCGTCCTTCTAGCATTCCTGCTTTGAAGGAAGACTGTGGTTGCCATGATTTGAACATCATCGCTCCCGATCTGGCAGAGCGGGTAACCTTCCCCAAGAAGGATTTTACATACGTTTATACGTACCTCTTTACTTTGGGCCCATTCTCATTTAGCGGGGGACTTGACCGCGTAATCTTGGAGTTTTACTTTCGCTATCAGGTTTTCTTGGCACATGTGAGCCCTTCTGTGTGGTGGACGATAGTCTGTCATCAGCGGTTATGCCACAAGACGGGGGAATAGTTCTCCCTGACTTGAATAATGAACCTTTATTCCCCCAAGACTTTTAGTGGGGGGATGATAAACTTCATCAAACGTGGTCACCATGCTTTGCTCACCAGCATGGATGACAACAACGATCATGGATGGATGGAGCGGTTCATTTTAGTTGCCACCAGGCATATTATCCCAGCCACAACTCCATCCTTTCCTGAGTTATGGACTCGTACACGTAAGTTCAACGTCAGTATTTTCTTTGATTAAAGATTGTTTCATGATGTTACTTATCCTTTCTCTTTTATTATTCAGCAACTCGGTGGACACCACCAAGGGTTGTAGGCTTAGACCAGTGGGTATAGAAGATTTTGGATGTCACTATGCCTGAGACCCGCTGCTGGAAAGAACTGGCCCTCAAATACGGGTGGAAGGCCAAAAATCATGTTGAGTTTATTTTCGAACTAATCTTGTTTTTACCTTGCATATAAGAAAACTAGTTGACTTCTCTTTTTGTTGAATTCAGGTCTTCCGCAGGTTCTGTTGCCATCCCCGAGGAGGATGTTTTGGATGATCCCGTAGATGCGGTAAGGTTGCTATAGGAGTTCTTTGCCCTAACGGGGGTCATCGGACTTGCTTCCGGTGTAGGTGCTTCCTCTTGGAGTCCTCGGCCGGAGGACAAGCAACAAAAAAGGCGACGTTCCTCTACGACTGAGGGTAAAAATAAAAAAGTGAAGAGCGTCGTGCCTGATCCAGTCGCAGACGCTGTGGTGATCGATGATGATAGGGGAGCCAGTGATGAAGGGGCTTCTCTTGCAGAGGAGATGACGACCTTCATCAGCTCAACAGAATGCTCAATCTGTTGAGATAGTTACACCAAGCGAGGACAACGTCTAGGCGCTCTAGGGAGAGTGTGATATAGTGGAAGATGCCAACTTTCGCTTCCATATCCCAGTTGCTGCTCCCTGTACTGTGAGGCTGGGTACTAGGCCTTTTCCGTCTTCAGTTGATGAGAAACTAATAACTAGAACTATTTTTTCCGCAGCTTCTTCTCAACCCACAATGCCATCAGCTTCATCTCCTTCACTAACTATGCCTTCACCACCAGCAACTGCTACATCATCCCCACCGACCACAGACACCCGAGAGGAGGATCCGAGGATGTCCCTCCTCCCCAGTCCCCAGTCCATGGGAATTTGGGGCATAACTATTCGCCCCCCTCCGCAGATCCTCGGAGGAGGAGGAACGTCTACTTCTCGATTTCTACCGAGTGCCATCTGCTGTCCCGACCGGTGCAACTCACCAATTACCTGAAGCCTCTGGCTTCAGAGAAAGATAAAAATAAAATACATTCTCTCTTGGGGGAGTGTATGATAAAGAATGCCATGTATAACGCAACAGCAATACGATATTTGTTCCCTTTACTATTTCTTCTATCTTCTCTACGACAGGATTTTTGATTTGAACTTTTGCTTTGCAGGCTAACTTTCTTGCTTCCGAGGTTGATCCTTGATAAAGAGAACCTCACATCTGAGCGGGATCAACTGTTGGCCGAGCGGCAGCAAATTGTTGCTCGCCTCTCGACACTAGAAGCACAAGCTGCCGAAGCCGTTGAGTTGGAGGCTTGATTGCAGTAGAGCGAACAAGAGGTGGTGACCCTCAACCAAGAGGCCTCCCTAATAAGGGTACAATTTCAAGAGTCCAAGGCAAAGTGGTCCGAGGTCCAAAATATTGTTCCTGCTGCTACCGGGTGCGAGGCTGCCTCTACTAAAAGAGTAAATAATTTGGAGGCAGCCTTGAACTCCAAAGCTGAAGAGGTTGCTGCTGCTGAGGAGAAGTGTGACCGGATAGAAGAGAAATATAAGAAGGTAATGGAGCACAATAAATTTTATAACTCCACTCTGTGACCTTGACGTCGCCTTCAGGCCGCTAGATCCCAGCAGAATAATCTTTCGATCGAGGTTGACCAGAT